AACCCTAACCCTAACCCTAACCCTAACCCTAACCCTAACCCTAACCCTAACCCTAACCCTAACCCTAACCCTAACCCTAACCCTAACCCTAACCCGACTCGTCACACCAAATCTACAGTCTACATCACCCACGTGTTTGATTATGTAATCACTCCCCAGTCCACCTAAAGTCAGTCCACCCACCACTGTCTTTTTTTCCTAGTACACATCCCACTGACTTTTGTCTGCATACCTAGATCACATTCGCATGGCACAGCTCACTAAGATACTCCAGCGCTGCCTCCTGCGACAGCTTACGATGCTCCACCCCGCTGTTCTTCGCCACCCGGCACGCCAGCCGGAACTGCGCCTTGCCCCCATCCAGGTTGTACGTGTTCACTGCTCCACAGTCACAGCATGGCACCCCTCCCCGCACAGACTGGAAGAATGCTACCATCTCATTCCGAGCCCCCAGCTCGGCCACTCTCTCATGCCGTGGCTTCAGCTCCTTCATCTCCTCATCCTCCACCTCAGGATCCCATGCATGATCACCCGTCTCAAATTGGCCCTCCCGCCACCACGCCAACTTGCTGCTCCACAGCGTCGGCTTCCTGTATCCAGGGCTCCACCCCATCGCATTCCCCAGGTCGCAAATCACCTGCTTCCCCAGCTCATCCATCTTCTTGCTGTCCCGCCCCATCAGGATGTTCTGCCGCCACGCATGCCCCAGCATCCTCAGCACATTCCCACGCACCTCTCCCACAGTGAAGCAACGCACAGACAGCCACTCATCCCAGCTGTCCAGCATCAGCAACGGCTTCTCCTCCAGGATAGACAGCACCTCAGACAGCGTCGCTGCCCTCACTGACACTTCTATCCGGTAGCCCCCCAGCTGATGGTACTCGTCCATCTCTGAGACAAAATGCTCAATCGCCCGCAGCCGTGTCTTGGCCGTGCCCATCGTCCGGGGATCCATGTGGCTGTACTGGTGTCCTTTGGCCTTGATCATGTGTATGTAGCGTGGATAGATCTTGACCCTCAGTCCTTGCTCCTTGTGCTGCACAATGCACTCAATGCTCCCATGCCCTTCTCCCAGCGGAAGGAACATCTCATACACCTGCATCCCAGTCTTGCCTGCCTTGGGTTTGAACGTGTAGATCTCCTTGGCCTCCACGGTGCATCCAATGTCATAGAGGTTGGTCTTGTCCAGTGGGTGCGGTGCGTCCAGTTGGAGGGAATGCTCTCCTTGCAGTGGATGTTTCATCCCATGGGCCTGCACCCGCACAGAATGGCAATGGCTTTCCTCAAGCACTTCCACCAGCATGGATAGCGTGATGGTGTGCTGTCCT